TTCCCAATTCAGCAGATACATAAGAAAATCACCATAATTTAAAAAGAAAGAAAAAGGACCCAATTCACAAAACATAATATTAACAAAAAAATGCACAGTAATAGACGTTGAAATTCACTTTCACTTGCAGGGGAAAAAAAACTGAAATTCCATAACAAAGCAAAAAACGAGCCAAGTATTAAAAAATTATATCGAAATTAAACTTATTTGGCTCTGCTTTCTCTTTAACCAACAAAATCCCAAGAAACATGGCTCTCTTTACATTTTCAAAAAGAAAAAGAACTGAACGTACAGAGAAACTTCTGTTCCTTTTCTTTCCCCGGTACAGAAAGGAAAACAATTACGTGTAAGAGATGGTGGGGGGCAGCTACAGGATGAAAAGGTGTGAGAGATGCTTCATATAATGATTAATGTTAACTACAAAAATACCCTTCATCTCTATGCTTGTTTACAATGTGATCCTGTACTAATTGATTGAATCAATTTTACCCTCAATATTAAATTGCAGTTTCTATTTCAGCGTATATTCCAATACACACGTAACACATAAAAATAGAGAAATTATTAGGTCCTTTAAGATCACTACTCCTTACCTCACTTAAAAGTTTTCTTGAATATGTAATAATTCCTCCATTTTTTTCATTAAAAAAAAAAACTAAATTAAGAGTAAAAATCACTGTAAGAAGAAATTAAAAAGAAAAGTACATAAAAGAAATAGAAAAGAAAATTAAAATTTCAAGTCATTCATAATTTTTTTATAAGTTGTTTTTCAGTGAGAAGAAAGATTTTGTTTTCCTCCTCATGGCTTTAAAACTAAGCATTTTTATTATTATTATTATTATTATTCGAAGACAAGGGTGTTATTGAACTAGATTGTGCATCATCGAAATTAATTTATTTTTCAATAAATTTTAAGGGCATAAAGATTTAATTAAAAAAAAAAGAACCTATGAAATTAAAAAAGGTATACACTTCTTTAACCTCTAGAACAATTTTGTAATGGTATTTAAAGAATAATTAGTAATATTTTATTAATTATTATTAGAGTCCACTTAAAAAAAATAGATACAGGAAGGTGATAGAAAATAAAATAGCATAACCTCTAAATTATTAAAATAATAAAAATATCTTTATTTGAGATTTTTTTTATATGATGTTTATCTTTTTCTTTAAAATAAATTCTAATTAGTTATTCCATGAACATCATAGGATTTTCTAAGTATTAATACAATTATCCATAAATAAGAGAAAATGCATGTATAAAGTGGTTACAAAATTTACTTAGTTCACCTTCTTCTTTTTTGATAAATAAACTCGTGTGTGTGTGTGTGTGTGTGTAAAGTGTTTCTATGTTACCATGTAAATGGTAAATTATCCATCTCAATCACGTAGAATTAGCAAGCCTGGATTAATGGGGAAAAATCATTAAAACTTTTAATAGAATGTATTAACCATTTTTATTGAAATGTGGATGGAAAAGCAATAAGAAAATGTTAATTAGACAAGGCATGTGAATTTGCTCGGCAACATTGGTTATGTATTTATCAAAAACTTGAATTTATTTTGTTTAAAATTATTTTTAATTTTTTTTTACATCATTTTGAGGTGTTAATATAAAAATATATTTTTAAAAATAAAAACTATATTATTTAGATATATTTCCAAACAAAAAATAATTTAAAAAGCAATTATTATTATAATATCAAATAAACTCTATAACACCTTACCTAAAACTACCTTTAGCACCTCAACCAAACCATCAAAGCTATTACAGTGATAACAAGAAAGAGTAGTTTTGGTATAAATAGATTATTTTTCAAGTTTTATCATGAGTTGTTAGTATAGTTTATAAATAAATAAAGAAGAAAAAAAAATATATCCTATATTGAAAAGAAACACTCTCTCTTAAGTGTTTATAAGTATGATTTTTTATTGTGTAATAAATTAAGTAAATGGCATGATAAATGAACTTTTCTAACAAGTTTTTTTAATGCTATTATATACATATTTATAATATAAAAAAATAACAATTGACACTTGAAACTTATTAATTCATTTTTAAATTAATTTTTATAATTTTTATAATTAATTTTAATATTTGTGACTATTGGGATACAATTGGATAGTATTTATTTAGTTTAATTTAAAATATAATTATTTCATTAACAATCATATAGTTTTATTAATAGTCATAATATTAAAATACATAATGTTTCATTATAATGTTTTCAAATCTAATAAAACTTGTTACTACAGAAAACATATAAAAAAAATGTATTTTTTTCATTTGTCTTATTTTTTTTTAGAAGTCTAAAGAGTTTAGTTGTATCTTGAAGGTGTTGTTTCTGTGTAGAATAAATAAACATATTAAAAATAATATTTTCACACTTTCAAGCCAACTCTTTATTTGTTTTTATCTTAAACTATTTCTCTAACATGACTCATAATATTTGTGTTCTTCTAAAAAAAACTCCAATTCACGGCACCGATGCATATAAAATGCCCTTTGATTTGTTGATCCTAACTAATACTAGGTTTAGGACACAAATATATATTTTAGTTTGATCCAACTAAAAAAAGATCAAAAATTTTAATTTAGTTTTAACCAAAACATATTAGTCCAAAATTATTACTCATTTGTTAATTACAAAAAAAAAACCTTTCAATTCAAGTGATCAAGTCATACAATAACTTGGCTTCAAATTCCTATTTAGTTGTATTAGGAGTCATAATATTAAAATACATAATGTTTCATTATAACATTTTCAAGTCTAATAAAACTTATTACAACACAAAAAAAACATGTAAAAAAATGTATTTTTTTTCATTTGTCTTATCTTCTTATTTTTTTTAAAGGTCTAGAGAGTTTAGTTGTATCTTAAAAATTTTGTTTTTGTATAAAATAAATAAACATATTAAAAAAAATATTTTCACACTTTCAAGCCAACTCCTTATTATTTTTTATTTTAAACTATTTTTCTAATATGACTCATAATATTTGTGTTCATCTAAAAGAAACTTTAACTCATGGTATCAATGCATATAAAATGCTCTTTGTTTTGTTGATCCGGTAAGGATATAAATATATATTTTAGTTTTGATCTAACTGAAAAACAAATAAAAAATTTTAAGTTAGTTTTAGCCAAAGCATGTTAGCTCAAAATTATCACTCATTTGTTAATTATTAAAAAAAAAACACTTTTCAATTCAAGTTATCAAATCATATAATAACTTGGCATCCAATTCCTACTTAACGAAAATATTTCCAACTATTATGACACAAAAAAGACACAATAAATGGTTTGAATATAAGCCATAAATAATTCATAAAAGTTAATTTTTTTTGATAATTTTTCTGTAGCTATATTTTTTCCATAATAAAAATATTTTTAGATCAACTTATTCATCCATTGAAACTAATTAAGCTTTTTATTCCAAAGGTTATAGGTGGAATGGTAAAAAAAATATTTATAATTCACCAAGTTAAAAGTTCAATTTTTTATTGAACAAAGTGCTCAAATAGCCTATTAAAATATATGAAAGGGATAGTTAAATAACCCTACAATGCAATAATGAAATTTAATTTGAGAACCTTGCAATAATATCTTTGTATTATAGTCTTGGTCGGTTGACATGTGGAGTTTGACTTGATCAAACTAAATATTAAATGGCTGCACATAAATTAGGGCTTTGTGTATGTGATAATTTTGTAAGAAATAAGATAGATAGTTTTCAGGAATATTAATGTTAAAAATAACATTATTTC